ATATGCTGTAGACGAAAGGAGTTTCAGACTTGGTCATCTACTGCTCTAAAAACAATGAAAACAGTGTGTTTACGTTAGGCTCTGAACCTGATTTCTATCTGTGCTGAAGCTAGGTGCCAGGTAAGAGCTAGAGTGATCATGAGCTTCTAATACACATAATTTCTCTGAAGTGGAAAATGAAAGATTCGGCTACCATGAGCTTAGATTTTCAAGTATGAGAAAAAGACTCTTGCAGTGACCTTTACACTGTCCAGGCGGGTATGTGGAAGAGACAGTACATATGCAAGCCATAAAAATGGAAACACAAGTTTTGGAGAGCTAACATGAGCTTTTCCTTTTTGTTCATTTCAAACGCCTTATTTCCTCTGAGTCTTTAACACATCTCTGGGTTACGTGTGCTGCAGGTCTCTGCAGTGTTTTCTGAGTGACCTTAGCTCTGTGTTTTATTCTGTAGGCAGGCCAGGGAGAACAAAATGAAATCGCACACTTTGGCTTCCTAATGCCCAGTTCTGCAACATTCACTTGCATGAGGGTTCCTATTGACTCTGATGAGACTTCTTGCAGATAGGTTGGTATGGCCATGGGTTTGTGCATGTGAGCTTGCTGTGGACTATGCAGAGAGCAATAGCTTGTCTTTTGGGGAGCTTCATGATTTGCATTTTCTTTGAATGTTCCCCATTCTCATTCTCCTTGCCCTAGCTACAGCTTAAGAGACAAAAAGTTGCTATTTAATTTACTACGCATCAAACAGAACACAGCTGTGGTGTATGTCACAGAATCACAGAAGGGCTGAGTTTGGAAGGGACCTCAAGAGATCATCTAGTCCAACCCCCCTGCTCCAGCAGGGACACCTAGAGCACGTGGCACAGAGTGGCATCCAGGTGGGTTTGGAAGATCTCCAGAGAAGGAGACTCCACAGCCTCTCTGGGCACCTTGTTCTAGGGCTCTGTCACCCTCACAGTAAAGAAGTTCTTCCTCACGTGGAGATGGAACTTGTTCTGTTTTAATTTATACCCATTATCCCTTGTCCTGACAACTGGCCACCACCGAGAAGAGTTTGGCCCCATCCTCCTTACATTCTACCCTCAGCTATTGTATACATATTGTTCAGATCTCCTCTCAACCTTCTCCAGGCTAAACAGGCCCAGTGCACTTAGTCTTTCCTTGTTAAGATCATCTTTTAAGATCTAATCATCTTTGTTGCTTTATGCTGGACCCTTTCTAGAAGTTTCACATCCCCAGATGTCCTGACCCCATGTCCTGTGTTCTTATGCAGCAAGGATAATTCATGTTATGCTGGGATAAATCCACAGTAGCTGTAAAAAAGAAAATGCTATATTTGGTATATTCCAGTTAAGCTAGAGGCAGCAGTTGACCATGTTTTAGTAGTATTTTCCTGCATTAGTAGTTTAGGGTAATTTAGTGCATTCAATTCCTGTTATTCTTCACCAGTGCCAAGTTCAAGTTATGAGTGACAACATGGGATGAATGTGGTCTTAATGTAATAAAATATTGCCAGGTAGGGAGGCAATTACTCAGAATGTTTCTAAATGGTTCGTGCTGGTAAATCACATTGAAAATAGTTATAATTGTGAGCCCTACCTAGTGATTATAGGTATCTTGTACACCCTGGGGTGTTTTTGTTTGTTTGTTTGTTTTCTAGTTGCCGCTGTTTCTTTCCCTTTTTCCTCATGTGTGGGAATATGATTACAGTCCAAAGTGGATTGCAGTGTCCCTTCCTAGTGGCAGGATTGGGATGAGATGTCTGAAGAAAAAGGGAAATAAAGCAAAAGGAGGGAATTGTAAGCAAACAGAAGTGCATCGTAGGTTTAATCAGAAATCTTACTACTTTTGTGTTGTCAAAATGGATTTAGACATTTTGCTGAAATTACTTCTTTTATGGATATCTCTATGTACATGCTGCTAAAAAGAGAAAATAGTGTGCTTCATATAAGTCTATGATTCTATGCAATTAATTTGGAAAATAAAATTTGTAAAAGCTTAAGATGTGAGAGAAAGTGGGAAAGATAATGAAACAAAGTGTGTTCTTCAATCTCAGCATTTTAGACTACACTGTGGTAAAAGGCTCCTTTTTAACTTTCATATTGTGGTGAGGAATTGCAAGGACTGAGATTATTAGTGAACTAATCAAAAGTCATAATTAAGAGACTTAGACTAGCTACAACAAGGAGGGATATTTAATAGCTATTGGCCATAGTATTCAAGATTATTAAAATGTATTCATTATTCATGCCTATTTTTGTATATATTTTTATGAGTTAAAAAAATATGTATTTTCTTTCCTAGCTTACCTTGACCACCAGAACAAACTCTGAAAGAGATGGTAAGCAGTCTTTATGGGTGTCTCTGAGTGATAAGCTAGTCCTATTCATAGGAAGTGCATATAAACACTTTTATTGATCTGACAATACAGACATGTGCAAATTATATATGAAAAAAAGCTAAACTGAATTCAAAATAGAACTCAGATTACAACGCTATATGATTTGCCTGCCCTTGGGAGAACTCCAGAGTCATAACAGGAAAAATAACTGAGGAGGTTGATCATTTGCCTTTAGATTTATAGCTTTTGTTCACTTGAGGAAATCTCTCATTTCCATTTATTTCACAGCTGAAAAAGCACAGACACAGAACTAAGTTAGTCTTTAAGGTATTCCTTTTCTTTTTCCACCTCAACATGAAACATTTCTGTAACTTCTGTTTTTGAACAGATGGATTTTTAAAGGTGAAATGTAAAAGAGGTTTTCATGGCTCACTTTGAACAAAACAAAAAGGCCACGAAAAATATTTGGACGGGCACCGGCATCACAGTTCTGCCTCCATGAACTGGCTTTTTGTCTTCCTCTCCCTGAAATTAGCTACTGGAGCTCAGCAGCCAGGCACTTCAGCCAGCGGGATTCCAGCGTGTTCAGTAAAGTCATCAAGGCCCTTTTAGAAACATTTAAAAAGAGCTGAAGATAACTTCTAGAAGAATGTGTTGTCCTTTTCAGAAATATATAGAATGTATGAGATCTCTGCTTTTGTCAGGCTGCGTGAACTGCTTTATTGTGTTCCATAACTGGATTTTTAAGTAGTGGAAAAAAATTAGCAAGATGTTCCAAAAGTAACCTGTGAATGTCAGATTGGACAAGAGGACATTCTCCTCTGACTGCTGAAGGATGAGCAGTCAGTCTGAAACTCTTGAGCAAAGCAAGAAAAATAAATAAGGAAAACATTGTACATCCTAGTTTTTAGGAGGTTGGATAATTAAGAATGGATGAATTCTTTGTGGAAAGTGGGTGATTTTATTGCACCAGTCATCTTGGCAATAAGTATTTTCAAATGAGCAGTCTTTTAGCAGGACGATTGGAGACTAAGGAGAATCAGCCCTACAAAGTCTTGCTTCCACGAACTGTTACTTTTCAGGAAAGATAATTTGGGTTTTTAATCACATGGCTGAACCCCAGAATCCTTCGCAGATAGGATGACATTTTTGATCAAGCTTTTTTAAACAATGTATTTTTAAAATGTTTTTTTCACCAAGAAACTTATTGGCTGGAGACCTTCTGTACCTAAAATCTCTTAGCAGTAACCTTCAAAAGAAACAATATTTATAGACCTCTTCGGGGATAATAGGCTCAATTTTGCAGAAAAAAAGGGGCAGTTGTTATGTAAACTCCAGCATTTGCGTTATTGTCTGAGAACCAGGAAGTGAAAACAAATGCAAGTAAATGAAATTAACCTCACATGGTATTACCAGTCTTGAATGGAAAGTATTTTGTAAGTTTATTTGATACTTCATTCTCCAAGAGATCATTCTTCTAAGGTTACAGAGTGGCGCCAGTTCAGATTGGGAAAACACATTTCAAGAAAGGTTTTTCTTTTTTTTTTAATCTTGTATGTTCTTAAAAATATATAATAAAGGACTGTAAATGTCAGATTCATCTCAGAAAGTCTCAGCAAATCTTCACAGTTTGAGCATATGCCAAAGCATGGTTTAATTAAAATTCTTCTGATTTAAAAGTACAAGCATTCCGTTTTGGCCTGAGAGAAGCTTTTTTCTCTGGGAATTAATATGCAAAAAAAGCTTCACTTGCCATCTATGTATGGCCCTAGTTTACTGTATGGCTTTCTTCAAGAGCTTCAGCATCTCTTCTTGAGAAGAGCATGAGGTGGGAGAGAAAATGGCCTGTAGGAAGGAGGGCTAAGGCTGAAAGGACTGGGCTTTAGCTTGCTAGGGAAATATGAACAAAGTAAAACTGTACTGTTTCAGGTAAAGTAAGATGAGCTGGAGGACAGGGATGGTGTGTTTCATTTTGTCCCTGAATATCTCTTCCCATGTATAGTACTTTATCATTGGGACTTTATTGCTTTTTTCCATATCCTGGTTGCTGATGAATACAAAAGGGAGATTTGCAGGCAGCTCAGCCCTTGCCTAAATACAGTCTTGTTTTTGATCAGAGCCATGATGGATATATGAACTTGACTCGAGTGCAGTTTGACCTTTTCTGTGAAACTTATCTTGGCAGGCAGATGGAGGAAGTATGTTACGGGACAAAATTAATGCCGTTGTTTCATATGGAGGAATTTTAATCTCTTACATTTTCTGTCTGTGGATGTGAAAAGCAGGTGTAGGTTGTAATTGCATACCCATAGATGTGACCCAGCTCTTGCGATTCCTGGTGAGCAGTGAAGGAACTGTGGAGTACATTGCACTGGCACTACAGTAGCAGGAACACTTGGGAACACCTCCTCTGTGTATTGCTGCTTTACTGGCAGTTCTTTGTTGGTAGCTGATGAGGAAAAAACAGTCTCTTGTAAGAGTAGTAAAATGTAATGCGCTTGTGCAGTATTAATCCTTAGTGTCATTCAGATATACATTGTTTATTGAAGAAGAATGACATGGTCAAAAGACAAACTTCGAACTTCATTTTACAGTGTTTCTTCCCTCAATTACTGTTTATTTTCTCTTTTTTTTTCCCTCCCGTTGCCCAGGAGGAAATGCCTCTGGAAGACGCTGAGCCATGGTACTTCCAGCGCGTGTATGCCAGATACTGGAAGCACTACGACATAGCCATGCGCTGGATGCGCAAGCACCAGAAAGCCTACAGCAAAGCCGTGGAGTCCTCGTGCCGCTTCCCGTGGCAGCCTCCGGCAGCGCCTCCGAGCAGCCGCTACTCCGACTGGGATGGCAACGACCGCGCGCGGCCGCGCGGCCGCTCCGCCGGCGGCAACCCGTGTGGCAGAGCTCCGTGCCCTGGTGGGGCACGTGGGGAGGATGCCGAGAGGGACTCGGCGACCGAGGAGGGCTCCGAGTCCGAAGAGGAGATAGAGTGTGACCTGAGTAACATGGAGATCACGGAGGAGCTTCGCGAGTTTTTCGCGCAGACAGAGAGGCACCGGGAAGAGCTGCGTGAGTCCCTGTTGGTCAGTTTATTTTGGGTGCCTGGTGGCCATCTCGCTGGGTGAGGGAAATCTGCAGTGTCCGGAGTTTTGGTGAACAATTCGAAGAAGTAGGGAGCACTGCAAGAAAGTAAGCCAGACAGGATGAACGGGGCAAAATTTGTGGGAGCGCTTAGGTCAGTACCGTTTGTTTGAAATAAAGTTCAGAAAACATTTGAAGGTTTTCATATGAGAGGGGAAAGATGATGACTGTAAAGAGGAGAAAACAATATTCAGCTTCAGCTCTGAAGATTTGTCCATGGGTAGAATGTTCAACATTGCTCTTAGTTGCGCAGGTGGCTCCAGTATTTTAGTTCAGAATTCATTCTTCCAGGAGTCACTCGATGAGTCTTTTGCCAATTCTTGCCTTCCTTCTCTAACTATCCTTTGGTTTATCTTACAAAGATTTGCTTAATTTAAAAATAGTTAAACAGTATTTAATTAAGACAGTATTTAATCAGCCAGCTTTTCCGTTAAAAGCATGTATACATATACTTGTATGTCAATATCCAAAATTAATTCATACCAAATTTTAAAGCTAGAGTTAAAGATGTAAGTTTGCTGAAGGACCTTTTAGTGGTATTCAGTCTAAAATACTGTCAAAACTACAGAATTTTAAAGTTTAAATCTACTTGCATAATATATCTCTGAAAAGGGAAGCCAGAGGTAGGACTTTACTACAACCCTAGGGTAAACCTCAATGTACTTTACAGTACGGATCAGCCCTTTTATTTGTTGTTCTTTGACTAACCTGACAGCAAAATTGCAAGACCTTTCTCTTCTCCCCCAGCATCCCTTGGTCCTCTGTACTGTACCAAAGGTGTTTCTTTGTTTTGCATCTTGATCTGGACCCAAGTCGTTAAGCAGAGGACATTACACAAAAACTTGAGATTATTGTTTTTTTTTCTCGGGTCTTGATCCTCAGTTTTTGGTAATCTTCACTTCTTTAAAATCTTAAATAAATTAAAGGATCATGTTGTACTTTATTAACAGTTTACTGCATATACAAGTGTTGCAGGAAATTTGTCATCTGTTCTGAGGAAACAGCATGATGAAAATAACTTCCTGTGTAAGTCATGTAGGAAATACCCAGAATCACTGCTTAATGGAACTTGTAATGCATGCTGAAAGAGAGAAGAACTCTAAAAGCACGGAATAAAAGCAATGATTGGGAGGGAGGGTTAAAATGATGTTAAATTCTTCGATCATAGAGAATCTAGTGATCTGAAGTGCTCCAGTTTAACTTCACACTTCCTTCAGAATGACATACAGTTCTCTAGCTTGCAGAGGAGTGAGTTGGCACAAGTTAAGGAGCTCGGTGGTAGTGCCCAACGTGCAGCCCTTGCTGATCAGCACCGTTCTGCTTTTGCAGAATGAGTTTGCTGTTCTCTGTTGAAACGCTCCTTTGAAGAGGTGCAGGATGCTTTGAGATGCCGGGCTGCGTCCAGCAGTGCAGTCTTTGAACTCAGTCTTTGTGCTTAGTGCTGTTTGTAGGTGTGTTAGTGATTAAAGTGGTATGCTGGAAACTGGGAAATCTGAGCTCAGAGACTCTTTGTCATAAATAGCCTATGTAACAGTGGTATAGATATTTCATGTCTTCCTGGATTCTCACTTGCTGTTCTTGCTAAAAATATGATTTGATTGTTTGTGATGAGCAATTGGATCAAGAAGAGGCCTGTGACTGAGGGCAGAGAGATTTGACCCTTGTTCCTTCTGTCACGTAAGTCCTTGAAGCCTTTGGAATAATGAGGTCTCACCCCTGTGCCATTTAGTAGCCTAGTTCTGGGTAAGTGTAATTCCCTTCGCCTTAATGATCGTGTTGCAGATCTTGGGGCAAATCAAAGCAGACTCTGGCCTTTAGTTTCTGTGCTCCTCAGTTTCTTTGTAATTTCCTAGATAAAAGGAGGAGGAGAATAGCTGGCTGTAACTCTTTAAAGCAAGGAAAAGTAAACAGGTATGGCGCTCGATTTTAATTGAAATTAAAATTGTTGCAGAACTCTTAGGTGAAAGGTGCTATCTAAATGCTAATTTTGTGAGTAATTAAAAATACAGCATGGGCTTGTGCAGAGACTGTTTTGTTTCTTTTAATGGGAAGGAAAAAAAATAAAATACATTTCTAATTCTGTTGAAGTTTATCAGAAGAAATATTACAAGCAGCAGCAGGAGAAAAATAGTCATTTTTCTGATGGTGTGGAAATGTTGAGCTGTATGGAGACCCTGTTGATGGCAGTGCTTCTCTGCTTGTATAAGATAGTGTTACCCATTATCCTGGGTCTGTTTCTAAGCAAAATGAAATTTAGGGGTTCATTAAGCTGAGATCAATGACACTATCAAGTTATATCTTTCATAATGTGTTGAAGAAACATTGTAGCTTTTTTTCGTAGTCCTCAAGGAAATTGGAGATTATGCTGTTGCACACAAAACCCACAGTTGCTTAATAGTTTCTCTCTGACCTTTTACTTTCAATCCTTAACTATGAGTCAAGTTACCCCCCACTGTACAAGCAGATCTGTAAAGGAACACGGGCACTCTGTTCCTGACCCAGCAGGGCCAGAAATGTAGCATCTATCTCTGAAAGAGACACTTGTAGTGTTGAGATACGAGCTTAAGTTTTCCCTAAACTAAGAGAAAAGATTTGGGCATATCAGAGAGGAAAACACAATAGCCACCTTGATAAACAGAGCAAGTGCAAGCCAGCTGTGGAGAGGGCTGGAAGGGAGTGAAGTTTGCTTCTTCTGACATAGGTAAAGGGCTTCAGGTGGAGTCCAGTTCAGGGCTCCAGCCTCTGAACTCTGCGCCTTGCTGTGCATTTGGGAGCGAACACCCAGTTTGCTCTTGTTTTAAAATGAAAGCTATGTGAGAGTTTGCTCTAGTTGACAACTTAACGAAGGTGTGCAGGGAAGAAATAGCAACGGGCCAAAAAGAAAGCGGAATTTAATGTAAGGAAGAGTACTGATAGAGAGGGTAGAGTGATTTATCTTTGCAGGATGACTGCCATTAGTCTGGTGATTTTGAAGCCTTGCAAAACTAGGAAATACTACACAGCCTTCATGCAGCTTATTTTGGGCATATGGGAGTCTTAATTGACCACGTTAAATATGGTTGGTTCCCCTTCCACAATCCATATAAAAAGGTAATGAATGAATCCTAGTTCATGTCCAGTGCACACTCCTATTGCCTCATGTAGCATCTGCTAGAGGTAACTGACACCAGCAGAGAGGATCTTACAAAGTGGCAGTGTGGAAGGCTTAAGCAGGGCAACGGTGGAGCCAGCGAAGGTGGCTGTGGCTGGATGGTTGAATACCAGTATTAACATTATTGCAAAGAGGAGAGTCTGAAAGTGAATAAATCTGTCATGTCAGGCTGACAGAAGAAGAAAACTTCATTTCATTTTTCTGTAACTACCATAAACTTTAAGAACCGGCGGATTTCTAAGATATATGTGCTAAATTTTGTTTTCACAATGAGCATTTGCACTGACTCGCTGACTCGTTCGGTAAAGCCTCTGAAACTGGCAAACTCTGTGTGATTTAGCACTTCATCAGAGAGAGCTTGTCGCAAACTTTTTTTTTTTGGTCTTTGAATTCAGGTCAAGTTCTTCCTAGTTTTTAAATTATGTCACAGGTTGCAGTCCAAGTTACATGTTCATGGAATGCACCAAACTAACTCTGTGAGCAGAATTTTACGAGCAGAATTTTACTGTATGAACTGTATCAAACACATTAATGCACAACAAACCTATCTCATGCTCTGAGTATCCTGCAGGCAAAGCCATTCAGTTTAAATCCCTTACAGGCAGTATAATTTCTTTTCTGCAGTAGGTTATAAAAATTCTTCAGCTATTTCTTCATACGCAACCAAAGCAATTTCATTATTTTATCCTGTTTTTCTGCTGTTGTCAGGATAGCCGCCTTTGGTAACTGGTGAGCCTAATAAACTTTGTTTCTTGTGGATGTTTTTAGTTGTGTTTTAAAGTCTTCTACAGGTGGGTGAAAAGTGTGGAGTCATTTTTCTGCATTGTCGCACCTGTCAGACCTAGCTAGAGCATTTTAATTCCCCAAGTGTCATGGATGTAAAGGACAGAATATAGCAAGTAGCTTTATATTTGCAAGCAGCTTTTAAAAGTTAAAAGGACACATATTTATTGCATTTTTAAGTTTAGCCTTTGAAATACATAGCTTGGCTTTATGTTGTTTTACTTTTTATTTATTTCTTTCGTTACGTACATGCATTTTAATAAATGAATAATATAATTGCATTAATGCAGCATTACAAGTGCACAGAGAACCATTCCGCAGCAGTCACCAGGCAATGAGATAGTGTCCTTTAGTTTAGAAACAACAACAAGTGAAGGAAGCTGCAGTCACGCCAGTTCATTACTGAAGGATAATGGCCTATCACTTGTTAATGCCATGACTAAATTTTACTTTAAATGCTCTGTTTGTGTTATGAACACATACCCCCCTGCTTTTCCCAAAATAATATTGCCTAAGCTTAAAGTTTTCAAACCAGATGGAAAACTGCCTAAAACAAAATGAAAGGGAATGGTGAATGAAGAGGTTTTCCCCAAATCTGCAACTTGTAGTAGTTTTCCCATCAGGTTTCTTTTCTGTTTCTCTGAAAGATGACTGTTGCCTCTGCCTGTTCCGTGAAGTGAGGGTAATGGAATTTTCCATGTTTCTAATTTACTTGGGTAGCACCAAATCCATTAATCTCTTAATTTTATTTTTCCTTAAAGCCTTCATGATGCTAATTGGAAAATACTGACTACTCTACAGGTCGTTTGCCATCATGGTGTTTTTCCATCAGTTTTGGTAAATTCTTCTGCCTGTTTTTCCTCTGCCTGTTCCACCAGACTCCAGTTCAGATTCTTACTTTTGGCCGCCAGCATCTCCTTCACTTCTGCTGTACCAATGTCTGCTTGGCTTTCAAAGCTTTGCCAGCCCTGTTTCACGTAGGCATTTTTTTTCT